GGTTATTAAAAAACGGTAGAAATCGATATAAAATATTAATACCACTACCGGTGGAAACTAACGATATTAAATTGGCTCACTACTTGCATAGAGGTAACTGGAAGGTCCCGAAGAAACGTGCTCAACTTTTTGGCTCAGCTCTGGTACTCTCTTCGGTCCCAAGCTAATTGATTCACCCCTCGAAACATATGAAAATCCACTAACCCCTCATTTTATCTGTCAAAATTTCATAGCGATTCAAAACAAACATTGCGTAGTACTAGAATTTCGACTGGAATGGGATACGTTAATCGATTTGCTTGGGACCAATAGGCTAGTCAAGTAGTGAGCCAATTTAAAATCGTTAGTTTCGTATTGATTGTTGCTACTTGACTAGCCTATTGGTCCCAAGCAAATCGATTCACGTATCCCATTCTAGTCGCTATTCTAGTACTACACAATGTTTGTTTTGATTCGCTATGAAAGTTTGACAGATTAAATGAGGGGTTCGTGGATTTTCCTACGTTTCGAGGGGCACATCGATCAGCTTGGGACAGAAGAGAGTACCAGAGCTGAGCCAAAAAGTTGAGTACGTTTCTTCGGGACCTTCTGGTCTTAGAGTTACCAACAATCAATTCGAAACTAACGATTTTAAATTGGCTCACTACTTGACTAGCCTATTGGTCAAAAGCAAATCGATTAACGTACCCCATTCTAGTCAAAATTCTAGTACTACACTATGTTTGTTTTGAATCGCTATGAAAGTTTGACAGATAAAATGAGGGGTTCGTGGATTTTCTTATGTTTTCGAGGGGTGAATCGATTAGCTTGGGACCGAAGAGAGTACCAGAGCTAAGCCAAAAAGTTGAGCACGTTTCTTCGGGACCTTCTAAGTAGTCTTACTTAAAGCACAAACGAAGTGTCAGACGACTAACTGGCGAAGAAATCAATTAAAATAATGTGGTTCGCTGTAATAGAATTTTCTTAGAAGCTTGTGCCATCAGCCACCAGATGGGCTAGTATTTTTGTTTTGATTAGAATATAGTTGATTTTGTGTGAAATATGGTCTTTGACAGTGTGCAAAGAGTGTATCATTTTGTCATTTTTTATGTATTTCAGTTTAGAGTAGAGTGAAAGAGATACAACCAAAACATTCTAGTAAATTTAGTGTTGCCATGTGGTACAATCCAGGAGTAGTGGTGTTGCCATGTGGTACACTGAAAAATTGTAACAGCAGGTGCGTCACCAAAGTTTTCGAGCCGCTCCGTCTGTCACTTCGTTTGTGCTTAAAGTTACCTGTATGGTTATTCCTAGTTGGAGCTTACCGCCATAAGTATTCATAGAAACCACAATAAGTCGCTGTAATTTATTTTTAAACATCTGTAATTTATTTTTAAACATCTGTTGAAAAAATCAATCATGCTTTTAACCCATTTCGTTAGAGACAGTTTTATGAATTGATGTCAACAGGATTTTGACCATGAACCGAAATGTTGTTTAGAACCGAGGTGGCGTCACATCTAAATCTCAATTCTAGATGCTCAACAAATCTCACACTGGCGAATCAATCAACGAAAAATCTTCTTTCATTTCTCGCATCTACTTGCATCGCACATCATTTTTTTTTTTTGCAGGAAATCTTCAGAATCGTGATCAATCTTCTTTCTATCTACTCAGCGTACGCGTAACTATCCACACCAAGGCAAAATCTTTCCTGCATCGTAGATAGAGTCGTCCCCCTCGGTTTAGAAAACACCTGGGAAATAAATCAGGCTTAATCTTATAAATTCGTCGAACCTCTTAACGGAATCCCTTATGAAGAGCTTTGAGTGTGTTGGTTTATTTCCTTTAAATTCCGTTATAATTGCTTATCTTTTGACAGATACGCGTCTACTACTTGCAGACTTCATCAGTGTCAAGTACTCAACACCACTTGGCTTAATGTTTATATAGATCAGTGCACGGTCCCTAACCTCACTTTTTGCTCCCTATCATTTTGCTTCTGAGTAAAAGAGATAGCAACGAATGGGAGCCAAAACAAACCACCCAAAACTGTCAAAACTTACGGGTGAGAGAAGAGTGCGGCAAATCTTCGTGAACTGATCAATCGATAATTAAAATACCAGACTTATTCGTTTCTGCGATTTTGAGTGAAAAACCACTAAGTTTTGAGTTAATCTCAACGGTCGTGTAGAGAATGCAACTTGCAAGCAAGTGTATGCCACCGAAAATATTTTTGATGTAGCTTCCATTGAAAACGCACTCGATTTTCATCCTTGATTATGGAATTCATATAAATTTCATCGGCCTCATAATATTCATGTGATTTTGTGGTGGGCCCACATAAATGCGAACCATTACTTGACCTTACCAAAAATCGTTAATAATTGTTTATAATCTCTGCCAAAGTTCAATTGAAATGGTTGTCGAACTTTACATGATCGTTTGTGTGATAAAGTTTTGACCTAAAGTATTATGTTTTTTTTTTTGGAAATGAACTTTACAAATAATGGGTTGTCCCTTTTCCAAATTCTTGTTTTCCCAATACATTTTTGGGAAAGGAATTATATTGGAACCATATTATTTATGTTTTGAGAACTTTAATGGTAGCATACACAGAAAAAAAAAGTTGTTGAATATTACTCCAAACAGCTGCACAGAGGTCATTCCGCTGGTGGTGTAATATTACGTTGCACGATGTATACCGATTTTGCGAACAAAATTACATCTGTTGATGTAATATTGTATCTGATTTCTGCTATTACATCATTATTTCATACATCAGCTTGAATTACGTTGATCGATATTAATTTTTTTTGCTGTGTACACAGAAAAAAAACTGCTGCAACCAGGTCAATCCATCAGTTGTGTAATATAACCACAAACGAAGTGACAGACGACTAACTGGCGAAGAAATCCATTTAAATAATGTGGTTCACTGTAATAGAATTTTCTTGGAAGCTTGTGCCATCAGCCACCAGATGGGTTAGTTTTTTTGCTTTGATTTGAACAAAGTTGATTTTGTGTACAATGATTTTTTGACAGTGTGCAAAGAGTACGTAACATTTTGTCATTTTTTTATGCATTTCAGTTTTGAGTAGAGTGAAAGAGATAGAACCAAAACATTCTAGTACATTTGGTGAAAATGCTAGTTCAATCTAGTAGTAGCAACAATCAATACGAAACTAACGATTTTAAATTGGCTCACCACTTTAGTAGCCTATTGGTCCCAAGCAAACGATTAACGTACCCTATTCTAGTTGAAATTCTATTACTACACTATGTTTGTTTTGATTCGCTATGAAAGTTTGACAGATAACATCAGGGGTGTGTGGATTCATGCAGAACATGCAGGGGTGAGTGAAATAGCTTGGGACTCCTTGGGACCGTTGTTCTGGTACTGAGTGAGTCAAAAATAATGATGATTTTCTTCAGGACCCAGTGGTCTTAGAGTTACCTCTATGGTAGTAGTGTTGCCATGTGGTACAATCCAGTAGTAGTGGTGTTGCCATGTGGTACACTGAAAAATTGCAATAGCAGGTTAGTCACCAAAGTTTTCGAGCCGCTCCGTCTGTCACTTCGTTTGTGATATAACGTTGTACGATGTACATCGATTTTGCGAACAAAATTACATGCATTGATGTAATATCAGTGCTAACATTTGAAAACGGCGCAAAAGCCATTTGTAAACAAATGGTTTGTGGGCCCTTTACTCGCTACCCGAAGAACGCCCACGCAAACCAACAGCATCGTCAGGAAGGGGAAAATTTCCCCTACCCGATGTCGCGTGGGTGTACTTCAAGTAGTGAGTAAAGGGCCCACAAACCATTTGTTTACAAATGGCTTTTGTGCCGTTTTCAAATGTTAGCACTGATATTGTATCTGCTTTTTGCTATTACATAATTATTTCATACATCAGCTTGAATTACGTTGATCGATATTACATTTTTTTTTGCTGTGTAGCAAAAACAATAAAAGTTTTGAATTAGTTCGTGTCTGATCTATTCTGGACGAATTATTTTTATCTAGATAAAAAAAATCCTATGGTTTTGACCAGGCCAGTGACAAGGTCTATACCAACAGCAGTGTTCGACAGTAGGCAGCATGTCCCGGGCTTAAATCATTTATTTTGCTGTGCTGGGCCCGCTGTCACTGTATAACATGTTGCCTACGTGCCTGCCACTGGGCTGGTTTTGACAGTTCGGATCACTGCACGTTTAAATCGGTCGTTTACGATTTTCGGCAATAAGTGAAAATTAAGTGTCATGTTGGTTTGTCGGTGGTTTCATAACCATTTCAGTTAAAGTTCAGCAGGGATTATAAACAATTTTTAACCCTTTTCGGTTAGGTCAAGTTTTGGTTCGCGTTTATGCGGGGAATTTGCTGCTATGTGATCACAGGGAAGCTATGTGAAATTCACATAAATTTCATCCATTAGATATGTGATAATTTTTTAAAGTGTGTGATTACCATCTGAAATTTCTTTTTGATCGGGTATCGAATTTATGCTCGCAGCATATTTGTGCGCTGTCAAGGTTTTCATTTTCATACTTTTTACTTTTTTGTTTACATCTGAAACAACTATGGGCCTTCATAAATGATGTACAAATTTAGGAAGGAAGGAACTGGGTCATGCATTTAAAATTTAATAAATTATTAATATTTAATATTATATGGCAGTACCCGGTACAACGGGGATCCAAAATTAGGTGCCAACATTTCAAAATGGCGAAAAAAAAGTAAATGATGGCTTCAACCATCGATTTCTCGTGAACACACGCTGACACCTGCAAATTTACGACACAATCAGTTAGGTAAATGTTCCATCTACCAGTTGGTATCATTAATTTGCAGGAGTGAATTTTCATTTGCGTGAAATCGGTCATTGCTTACAGAAGCAGTTTTGCCCTAATGAAATGTTGGCACCGAATTGGTCAAATATGGTACATCATTTATGCATGATCCCATAACCAGTCTTGTCAGTGTCACTATTTATGTTTTATGTAACTTTGTGATGGTTCTTCAGCAACGCATTACTTTGCATTTCTATCGAAATTATTTCTAGTCTTAAAACAGCTTAAAGCCTCTCCACAAATTTGTTTTGTGTGGTGACAGCCTAACGCTGTCCAAAATAACCCAATAATGAGTGCAATCACAAGTGAATATTTGAAAAACGAAACCATCGGTAAGTAAAATGAAGTCAGCACTAAAAAAAGCCACCCGGTAAAGCTTACCTCCCCCGCTCAGCATCTCAACCATGGCCTCAGCGAGCCCATCTCTACCAACCGTACGAGGAGCAGCAAATCCTGCTGGCGGAAAATGCCAGCTGTCTGGCGGTGCGCACCTATCTGACGATGTTGAACCTTCCCTTCAAGGTGGAATTACGGGCCAATGCTGAATTCATGTCGCCTGGTGGAAAGCGCACCCGGCTACCGGTCCTGCGGGTGGAAAATTACACCTACGCCGAGTTCGAACACATCCTGAACTTTGTCGAACTGAAGGGACTTTCGCTGACGAAAAATCTGAACACGGAGCAGAAGGACGACATGCGGGCGCATTTGTGTCTGGTCGAGCAGATTTTTACCAATGCGGAGCAATACATAAGCTGGGTCGATCCGGAGGTGCTGCAAAAGGTGACACGCCAACGGAACGGAAGTGTCTATCCGTTCCCGTTGAATCACATTCAGAACTGGCGCAAGCAGATGACGGTGCGCCGTCAGCTAGGCGTAGCTGACTTCCTGAACATCACTCTCGACGAGGTCGTAGAGAAGGTGGAGAAGCTGTGCACGTCATTAAGCATGCAGCTGGGCGATAAGAAGTACTTCTATGGAAATGAGTGAGTCGTCTGGGATCAACTATCCACGAGAATTTACAAACCTAATTTTCTTTTTTGTTCTTTCACAGACCAACAGAACTGGACGCCCTCGTATTCGGACATCTCTTCAGCATTTTCACCATGACCCTCCCGAACAATGTTCTCGCCGTTACGATCAACCAGTTTAAAAATCTGACCAAATTCTGCAAGAACATCGAAGAGGAGCACTTCAAAAAGGCGGCCGGTGTCCGTTAAGAGGATTTTAAATGTGTGTTGGAAATTTCGGACAAATAAATATCTCTTGCTTATTTCGAACGTTTAATTAATCAAACAATATATAAGTGAAAGCGGTGAAAGCTTTACCCGGTATTAATAGTTCTTCAGCTTGAGTCGAGGAACGATGTTCATACTGGTTAGTTCCTGGAACAGCAATTTGCAAGCGTAGGGCATCGAAATCTTCGAAACGCTGGCAGACGAGCGGCAGTTGTGGCACCAGGACGAGTACGCTAGCCGACCGCACACGTTGCAGACGTCCACATCGAACGCATCCGACGAAATCATCAGACGTTCCATAATTAGCATGGAAGCACCGTAGGAAATCAAACAATCCCGTTCCATCTCTCCGAGACGGAGACCACCTTCGCGGCTACGACCTTGCGTCGGTTGGCGGGTCAGAACGGCACGAGGGCCTCTAGCTCGAGCATGCATCTTATCCTGGACCATGTGTTTGAGTTTTTGGTAGTAGACTGGACCGGAATAGATGTACATTTCAAGCGGTTCTCCGGTGATTCCCGAGTAGAAGATATCCTTTCCGAGAAAATTGAACCCATTCTTGAACAGCTCATCTTGCAGATCTTGGCACTTAGATCCACCGAAAGCGGTTCCGTAGTGGAATTTACCTTCCAGGACTCCAGCTTTGCTACCCAGCAGTTCAAGTGTTTTACCGACCGTCATACGCGAAGGGAAACCGTGCGGGTTCATGACCATATCCGGTGACATTCCGAAATCATTGAATGGAAGATCTTCCTGGTCGACAATTAATCCAGTGACGCCTTTCTGACCGTGACGCGAACTGAATTTGTCGCCAATTTCCGGACGACGCGTTTGTCGGAGAAGAATCTTAACCAGAAATTCCTCTTCGTTGTTGGTGGAGACCATGACCTTTTCAATGTAGCTGGGTTCGGTACCCTTGTATGTTATCGGAACGGGACTGTACGTGATCGGTTGCTGCCCGGCCTCCTTCTGCTCAATTGGGTTTGTGGATTTAACTGCAGGCATCTCCTTGTTGACCATGGTTTGCTTGGAAGCGACTTTCTCTCCGGGGGAAATGATGCCATCCGTGTCGAGGCATTCGTGCTTGAAGATGATCTTGTTGGTGAGCGAATCTTTCATTGGGCCCATGATGCGATCAAAGGTTTGATTGCTGTAACGCTTGATGGTACATTTGCTGTTCTTGTAAACCAGACAACGACCATATCCGCGATCGATGGAAGCCTTGTTCAGAATCAAGGCGTCTTCAATATCGTACCCGGAGTAGCTCATAACGGCAACGGTGGCATTTTGCCCTGCCGGAAGCTTGTCAAAGTTGGTCAGTTCAATGGTCCTAGACCGAACCATGGGGGTCTGAGGATAAACAATGTTGTACATCAACGTATCGATGCGGTTCTTCTGGTTGTATCCAATGATGCCCATAGCCTGTTTACCCATAGCACATTGATAGGTGTTTCGAGGACTCTGGTTGTGATGTGGATAGGGAACCAATCCGGCACAAACACCCAGCAGAGTGAACGGTTCAACCTCCAAATGTGTCGTCTTTTCAGGGTCAATATCCTGTTCTTGGTATGCGATAAACGAATCGTTTTCTTCATTGACATCCAGATATTCAATCAATCCATCATGAAGGAAGTCGTCAAACTTTCGCAGGCCAACCTTCAGCTGCTCGATGTGTTCCTGCTGAACCAGAGGTCTTCCGTGCTGGACAATTATGTACGGCCGACACAGGCGACCACCATCCGTGTGAATATACACGCAGCGCTGTCTAAACGACGTATGAATAGAGACAAACGCTCCAATCAAACCCTTCCTTCTCATCATTCGAAACACCTCCACCAACCGCTTATATCCGATCGTCACTCCAAGAATGTTACCGTTGATGAAGACCATAAACACTTTCGGGTTATTAATGGTCTCACCGCCAAGCAAACGAATATCCTCCACTCCGGAGTTGTACGCCAAACGAATCACCGGTTCCTCGTCCACCTCTGTAGTAATGTGGGTCATCAGGGCCAAATTCTTCACCAAACCGCAAGCTTCACCTTCGGGAGTATCCGATGGGCACAGCATTCCCCACTGACTGGGCTGCAGCGAACGCGGACCAGAAACCTTCCTCGTCTTCTCGAACTGCGAGTTCACCCTGGTCATCATTCCGAGCGCAGAGATGTAACTCAACCGCGAAAGCACCTGCGTCACCCCGGCACGTTCCATCTTGAAGCGTTTGATCGTCCAATTCCCCGTCGAAATAGCCGTTTCTAATCCGGTGGAAATCAGCGCCGCTCGCATGTGCTTCACGATATCGAATTGGGCAGCCTTGATCTTGGGAATGTTCTTATCGGCGATCATCTTCAACTCCCAGTTGAAGCGCTTGAACAGATCTTCAAACATGAGCGAAAGTAACGACCCGGCCAGCTCCAACCGCTTGTTACCGTAGTAGTCCCGATCGTCGACGGCCGATTTGTCCGCTTCTGCCGCCATCACGCGACGAATCATCAGAGCCACGTAGATTGCTTTCACCTGGGAAGAATATTTCCATTAGCGGTTCCGTTGTATTTCATATACTTGCGATTTTAAATTTACCTGAAAGTTAAAATTCGGCACCGGCACGTGTGCCAAGATAGTCGTTGCCAGCAAATCTCTCGCCTCGTCAGCTGTTGTCTTATACTTGGAGGCAGCCGTCGTAAATCGCTTAGCAATCAGCTTCGATCCCATATACTCCAGAGCCCGCTGTTGCGTGTAAACCTTATGATTGGCCGCTTCCAGCAGCGAAGGCGCAAACCGTTTCTGCGTATCCGTATCGATTCCCACCAGTTGCATAATCTCCTGATCCGAAGCTATTCCCATCGCTTTGAATATGATGGCCACCGGAATCTCCTCCGTCATCGAATTGTGCTTCAGATAGTACTTTCCATGCTTCGACAGCAGAATCGTGCGGGACTTCTTCTCATGGGTCGAACTCGTCACCTGACACTGTATCACGTTGTTGTAATCCTCAGTAATCATCTTGTTCCAGGAAACCTGCTCCTGAATCAAAATAACCTTTTCCGTTCCCCGAATGACGAAATAACCACCGGGATCCATCGGGCATTCGTTAACCTGCGAAAGTTCATACTCGGACTTCCCCGTCAGCACGCAATTCGACGATCTCAACATAATCGGCATCCTTCCGATGAGAAGATTGTTCCGAACAACCCTCTGTGTCCCCCTGGTATATTCAATATCCACGGTAATCGGCGCAGCGTAGGTCATATCCCGCAGGCGACACTCGTGCGGAGTAGTCGATTTGGTATTGTTGAAACCCTCTTCCACATCCGGCGTTCCAATGCTCACGTTCAGATATTTAAGGTAGAAACACGGATCGGCATCACTTTTGACCTCATCGTTCGCCCGAACAATGTTCTTGATGTCCACGTTGATGAAATAGTTGAACGAATCGATGTGCTGCTTGACCAGCCCCTTGACCTGGAGGAAGGCCGGAACCAGCTTCCATTTGTCCTGTTTAATAGGCAACGATATAATCCGAAACACAATTCCACCGAAAACACTTACCTCCAGGGCCTTTTGGACCTTTTTGTAGTTCTTGCTGTTTGCATCCCAGTGCTTTTCATCAATCCCCATTTTCGATGGATGGAAGATTATTTAATTGAAATCCACAACGTAAAACTATAACCAAACACCGCTAGTTCATTCTCGAATAGGTATTTTCGAAAAATTGGACTATTTACAGCCAAAATTCGATAGTAAGTTACACTTTGTTATAAAATGATGAAATACACGCGGCCGCTTCTCAACAAAAAAACGATTGTTGTGATATCGTGCAAAATTTGACAGCTACTGCCCTGTGCAGTTGTAGTGGTGAAATGTTTGGGTCGGGCTTGGTTGATGTTCGTTCCGCACACAAGCGTAATTTATGCTGCTTTGGGTGGTAGGTGGTGGAAAATGTAAACACAACATAGGTTTCCTTCAATGCTTTTGCCAACTACTGTCGTCGCGTGGACGTTTGGAGAGAGATGGGGTGCCTAGGGTGGTTATAAAAGACTAACAGTTCATCGGGGTTCTCTTTGCATTGCTAAAGCGAAACAATTTTCTAGAATTTGTTCAGTGCAGTGTTGTAACAGGATGTATAGGCTTTTAAAAGCACCAGCAAACGCACCGATAAACGTCAATCCAAGTGAGTTATTAACAAGAGAGAGAATTTACGAAGATAATCGATCATCGCGTTTACGCCCTTATGTATGCTCACTGCCGCATTGAATTGACCACTTTGTCAAGCAGTTTTATCTTGACTTTCTACCAGTGATTTCACAAGACTGGACCAACTAATTTATATTTTTTATGAAACGCACAAATTTAAGCTACTTTTCTCGAGGTTCTAGAAGAAAAAATCTCAAAATAATGTTTTATTTCAAAGTTCGAGTGGTAGTAAACGTCATTTTAAGTGCTCGAATGAAGTGGTTAATTAATCACTTCATTCGAGCACTTAAAATGACGTTTACTACCACTCGAACTTCGAAAGAAAACATTATTTTGAGATTTTTTCGAGGGGCACGCAATACAAAAAAACCGGTGCGTTGAAGTAAAAATGCAATCAAAAGTACTTAAAGTAATTAATGCGTTTTGAAGTATACTAGAGTACTGACGGTAATTAAAATTATCTATCCGTAATTAATGTAATTAAAAGTATTGAAAATGTAATTAATGTACTTTAATTACGAAATTTCGACTGTAATTAATGGAGTTAAAAAGTAGTTAATATTCTACATTGTGCAATTAGTGTAATTAAAGCAGTAGTTAATGGAATTAATTCAATTACAGCCGTTGCCTGCGTTGGAGTTATTGCGCGTGTCCCTAGGTTTAATCATAACTTTACAAACTGCTGTTGTTTACCGCTATCGAAACAAAGAGAGTATTCGAATCTTGATTCGAAAAAAATATAGAATATCATTACAGAGCTAATCGAACTCCTAGCATTCAAGCTAATTTTACTATACCCGTACACAAAGTTCGCATCTTCGCATAAGTGACTGATATGTCACTGCAAATTTCGCACGTCCATGTGTATCTTCCTCTTCGCTGTCGACCTCACAGTGTTGATGTGCTTTAAAACACTTCCGGAGTGATTTGAGATTTGGGCGTAATTGCATTTGTAAACAAACACGTCAATTGTCAATTTCTTGTGGATAAAAGCTCAATCTCGTTAACAAACTATACCAAATGATAAAGGAATCATTCCTCTTCCTCATAATGTTATTTGTTTTCGAGATTGAGCTTTAATTTGCAAGAAATCGACGGTTGAAATGTTTGTTTAAAAATGCAATTACGGCCAAATCTTAAATCACTCCGGTCTTGTTATTTTCACTTTCACGATCTTCCATTTTTGTCTTGGGATGAAGTTCCAGTGAAATGAAAGGCAAAGAGTTTAGTATGAAATAGTAAATTCGACAGTAAGCATGCATAAGGGCCTATACGCGATGATCGATTCTCTTCGTCGATTTTCTCTTTTGTTAATAACTCGCTAGATTTAACGTTTCTCGGTGCGTTTGCTGTTGCTTTTGATAGCCAATACAACCTGTTACTACTCTGCATTGAACAAATTCTAGAAAATTGTTTCGCCTAGCTGTAGCAATGCAAAGAGTAAATCGATGAAGAGAATCGATCATCGCGTATTCGCCCTTATGAATGCTCACTGTCGAATTCGGTATATTCTCGATAATGATGGGCACACAACTCAGTGGCAGGTAGGCAGCTATAGACTGGTACGCATATTAAACTGGTACGTTTATTAGAACGCTTGTGGTATTCCATCACTGCAACATGTGAATCAGCTGACTGTCCAGTGCCAAACCGATCAAGGCCTGCGCCTTACCATTTTTAATGACCCAGGCCGCATCAGCGTTTTCTGGCTTCGGTTTTGTCACAACATCCCTCACACTTTCATGCGGCAACAGAAGCCTCACCTTAAACTTCCATAATATTATTGCGTAGTTCTGGTCGTTCAACTTGTCCATCAGTACTTTCGTGTCCGCCATCTTGTCTTTCCAACACGATTTCACACGGTTACCTAAACAAAAAATAAATCCACTCAATTCACTCTCGTGACGACAAAACTGACGCACTTTTTGCGACAACTGGGCCCATAACCTCTTGGGATGAGGTTCCAGTGAAATGAAAGGCCAAGAGTTTAGTATAAAATAGTAATTTCGGTTTATTCTCGATAATGATGCGCACACAACGAGTTAACTTTGTTGAATGAATAAATGGCGCATCTTGCTCAGTAGCTGCGGTAGACAGCTATAGACGCATATTAAACTGGTACGTTATTAGGACGATCGTTGCACCTTTAACATTTTGCTCCCTCAGCTCCTTCTCCTTGATTAAATAATCCTCCGGTTTCCCGTCCAGGTCGCAATCGTTCAGTTTCTCAAACGAATTTCAACAGTCATCGAAAACCAATACATAGAGGCTAGTAGATACGAATCCATCAGAATCCGCAAAGCGATCGTTTCCAATCGACGCTGCTGCCGCCGCCATATATTGCGGTTAGGTGTGCTTGGTGAAGGTTCAGGGCTTGCAACCAATTGGCTTCGATAAGACGGTGATTCGCCTCGGATAGCTCTCTGCTACGCAGGTTCAATTCCCGGTCCGATGGAGGGAATCTTTCGGGCTGGAAATTTTCTCGACTTCCCTGGGGATATAGTATCATTGTGCTTGCCACACAATATACAAATTGATGCATTGGTATTGGCATCAAAAGCTCTCAATTGATAACTGTGGAAGCGCATAGAACACTAAGTTGAGAGCACGCAATAAGCCAATATGCACTAAGCACTCTCTGCTATCTATGTCCGATAGATCACTCATGTTTTATTAGCAAACAGATAAAGTTCTACGGAAAATCCTCAAACAATTCTGTTTTTACTTTTACATTTGCCAGTTACCAGTAATTTAAAAGATTATGAATGTTTCTAACCATGGGAGCCAAACTGTGTCAATGACTGAGCCCAGTTGTGCCCATCTGTGTTTTTGGTACACTGTGCAAAGTGACCAACTCCTTCACTCATTCAGAAGTTCTAGTTATGAAATATGAAAAATTGATCGGCAAAGGTCAAATTGATGGACCCCTCGGTAGCTAGGAACTCTAACAGTTTTCAAACGAGCTCAATTGTTGCGTATTCTTAAATCATTAAAATAATTATATCTTTGAAAATTCTCAAGAAAGCCCGAGAGAAAGCCTTTAATATTTTTAAATCATTTGAACTCATGAAGACAGTTTTCTATTTCTACTGTTTTTGGTTTTTACTTCTTCCCTTTTATGTTGGCGTACATTTTCCAGCTGGTTGAACAAACTCCCGCGTGAATTCATCGTCACTTACGAAATGTGATTGTATTGACCACTGATAAAATATAATTTTAGAGTTTAGAGTAGACCGAGGAGTAGACAGATAGTGTGACGGCTCGTTTTTTGTAAATTTTAAATAGAGCAGTTGATGGACATGCTTTGCCCTTTTGAACTAGAATATTAGATATTAGCCTATCAGATCGAGCAAATATTTTTGAATAACACATCGGAACATACCAACTTGATAAGATTACAAACTCCGAAATTATTTCCCTTTGAAACTTCAATTCAATTGATATGAGAAAGTGGGGGGGGGGGGGGGGGTATGGATGTTTTCTGAATCATCTTGCCCCTTAAATGCTGCACAGTACACACTTATGTCGTTTTCGTTTTTGCGGTGTAGCTACACCGGTGCTACACTGCCGTACACCGAAATATTTTAGGGTGTAGACATAGGATGCACCTTTGTTTACAAACAAATGATGTTGAGCTGTCAAAGACTCGTGCTTATTCCTGCTTACACTACACCAGTGCTACACCGCAAAAACGAAAACGACATTAGATTTTTTTTGCCGAGATGGGCACCACCGAGCAGCACGGCATTTTGTTTTGCCGGAAATTCAGCAAAAAATATGTTTGTTAGCTGAGATCTCGGCAAAATTTCCGTTTGTTAGCTGAATCTCGGCAAGTTTTTCACTGAGATCCAGCAAAATAAAATGCCGAGCTGCTCGGTGGTGCCCATCTCGGCGAAAAAATCTAAGTGTGTAGGCCTGGCCGTTTTGATATGTGTGACGCATCTTCGAAGTGAAACATATATCAAATAGACAAGGAAAATGATGTAGGTACACCCTACGAAAATGTCATGTTAATTTAAGTTCCCTGAGACCGACACATGTAAGCAGCCCTTTTGACATAAGAATCAGTTAAAAGAAACGAGAAAATCAATTCAATCAAACGATCTCTTCGTCGAGTTGCTTATGTTTCGGTTTGAGAACACTTAATTTGACATGAAATGTTTGTTTGCGTTCCATAGTTTACGTCCAATATGGATTAAGTCTCGCGTAAAAGTAGTTATTTCTAAGTGTGTGATATATATATATATATATATATATATATATCATTTTCCAGGATGTTTTCAAGAACTGGCTGTGTTGGTGTTAGATTAGATTAGATTAGATTAGATTAGAAACATATCAATTTGGCATCAAAGTCCTTAAACTATTTTAATAAAACCATGTTGTAAAGTTTGTACCAACAGCATTAATATCTTCCATCCCAGTTGATGTTATTTTATTTGTTTGCCTGGCTAGGGTTTGCTTCGCAATCAATTGGCGATTGACGTTGGTTCTAAATTATGTATCCCTTCAGTTAGGACAACATTTCATCCCACAACCCATGCTCCACCCAAAACATTGATATCCTCCTCTTTGCTTCCAACATTCATAACATAACCGGAGGGATCGCAGACAACACATAAAACGATCACACTAAGTGGCTTAAAAGCGGGTAGGTGCTGAAGTAGTAGACCGCATAAGAAAAATACCAAGACAACCACATCAACCTCGTTGGTGGTATGGAATATGTTGAAAGAGACTGCTTTTGAACGCTTCAAGTAAGCCGTCCCGACAATCTCGCTTTGGAATGGACTGCTTCGTGGACACTCAGTCGTACTTTCACATTCGTCGGGTTCGGTCGATCTTGCTCTTGGTTATTGTTGAGCTGTGTGATCTTTTGGGTCGTCTAGTGTTGTCGTAAGTGTTGGTGTGTGTGGTAATTGCTGCCCATAGGTGGGTGATTTGTCCGAGGAGATCAGCAGCAAACCTTCCAATTCATAACTCGACCTATTTGAATTGCACGCTTTTGGCGGTCATGAATGGTTGCACAATTATTCGTCAAATTTAGGGCTTCCGCTGTGAATGTGTGGATAAACGTCGATTGAGTCAACTGAATCTGAATTTGGACTGTCCACAGACATTTGGAAATTAGACCATTAGACACGAAGCGATACAAAATATCGTAAGCATGTGAGCGATCCTCACTCCAGTTTTGTTTTCTTGAAACAAGGCATTCCTTCCCTCCCGCTACCACCGTCGATCATTTTCACCGCGAGAGTGTTTGGTCGAATTAATTAAAAGTGTGTACAAAGAAAGAAGATAAGCAAAACTGAAAAATTATGCTAAATCTACATGAGAGAACTGCGCGCGCCGTTACGATGGTTGCACTGGATATGAGAGTGTGCAGAGGAAAATGTGATCATAAATGAATAATTAGTGTCGACGAAGAAAAGTCCGATGCCAATGGAAAAAAAGGAAAGGCCGATCTAAATAATAATTTTCGCTCGTTTCGATGCCGCTGCTACTGCCAAGTTTTGTGCAGTGGCAGTGTTACTAAGCGCAGATGTGAAAAAACAGTGTGTGATCGGATTGGTGCCGCACACGCGCATGTGAAGAGCGGGAGACTTAAATGTCAGTGGCGACGAACCTTGAATGCGGGAGTATATTTAGCGGCGGCAGCAGCAGCAGTAGTGTGCTATTGATCCTTTAGATTTGGAACCGTGTGTTTTCTTGGTGCTTAAAATTAATACACTACTTTATAACTACACGGTGAAGTAGTGCGCGATTTGTTTTGGAAGTATAAAGCTGCAGGTAGCTGGAAGTTGACCGGAGATTTTTCACTTTTTCACTGGATACATATGAATTTTTTGTATTAAACAATTCAGTCACTTTGTGCATTTTAGTCGACCCATTGAGCAAATGGGCTGTTTCGAAACGGAATGCTACAACATACGAACAAACACAGACATGTGCGGCGAGGAAAGCGCTGGAATTGTAATGTTGTACTTGTTCGGAAGTGGTGTGCAATGAAATGTTACACGCCCTGGTACATGATCGTTAAGTAAGCTATGTGAACGCCCTCGGTAGCATAGTTGCTGGATTAACGAAAGGAGGTGGGCATTTGGTATGGTTTGCTTGCTCAATAATTTTATACCAATAAAAAGACAATCTCTATGCATTTAGAAAGAATCCTTGCTAACAATAGTTAGATACTGTTATTTTTCCTTTGAAATTTTCAGTGAATTTTCAACCACTCATGGATCCCAACAATCAATTTGAGCAGCATTTATATTTTATTAATTGAAATTAAAAAATTACAATTTTAATGTTATGGTTTAACCAAAAAAACAACATTCCATTCGATCCATACTTCAAGAACCAACAATACTTCAGCTCTATGAGTCTTGCCATACTTCGTGAAAATAAATTATAATCAAGAGTGAATTTTCAAATAGCCGTGTCTGCTTTTGTATCCAAAGATACTCAAACGTCAATTTGTTGAAACTCATAGCTCGGCCACGTAAACCACTAATGTTGGGGAAACTTTGCGCTACCTGTTGGTGGTTTTAGTTTGCGTGTGCGAGCTGAGAGTTTCGACAAATTGACGTTTGAATCTTTGGCTACCAAAGAACATACGGCTATTTGACAATTCACTCTTGAAATACTCCAGCGACCAGCATCCAGCTTGCACTCCTCATACCGTGAATGATCACCGCCTCTCTGCTCTTTGGACTATGGTATTGGTGTTTGTTACTTTCAGTTTCATTCAATTCGGTTCGGAACAAGAAACGAATTAAGACATGCCACTATTATTATCCATCGAATAATAGACACTGGAGAACTTTAGATTTAAGCTTTGTACTGCCCTCTCGGTGTGCCTTTTTAAAAGTGAATGGTGTAATATTAATGTACTTGGTACATGTACAACTAGGAAGAGAACAAAAACTGTACGAACCACCGACGCATGGAAGGGAGCCGTTCCCCATCGCTGCTGTTGCTGCTGTGAGCATGATCTTGAAGGTCACCGCACCGATTTACTGCATGACGACGACGTCGACCGGTTATTGTTCCATGTGCAACTGTAAGACTAGGTACGCCTAAGACGTGTTTATCAATGTGCAAAGTGGTGTTATTATACGAAGGAGATACGAATAAAAAGTAAAACAACGATAGTGAAAAGTTAACTACAGGAAGTTGATTAGTAGTTCAGACGTCGACGGGAGAGACAAAAACAACAACAACGGCGTGAGTTAACGATGATGCTGCTCAGACGACGAACCGATGGTTTGTTGTTGGCTTCGATCGTCATCTTTCTAAGCGTGCTGCAGACTACCAGTGCAGAGTACATCCCACCAGGGCCCAAGTACTTGTGCCCGGAAAAGTGAGTATTGCAAGATGCAGATGATTGTTTTTCAATTCTTTATTTGTTGCAAATTCAACATAAATTACATTTAATTTTAATCTAGGTACACCAGCTACTTCAGTAACTTACCAGCCTTAGTTGTTTTGATATATATCTAAGTGCGTTTACATTGTTTTTGCTTTGGAAATTCAGTATTTTAAACAAGGTTTCTATACCTACATGTCAGTATCACAATTATCTTAAAACTAATAACTAAAACTAAATGTTATCTAAATATAAAGGGAATTAATCGTTGGAATTTTTGCCTGAAATGATTAATTATGTTGTTGGACATTTATTCTTAAGTATCAACATTCGAAATTCTATGTACCTGCACTTCAAAATCATCTTCAGAACTTTGTTAGAAATCCCTTAAAGTGATTTTTTCCTGGTAGTGCAACAACTAGACCATATTGGCACATCAGCATAAAGCATGGCCGGGTTAAAAACTTGTTTTAATATTAGAAGTTTATTCTTCAGGCAAAGTTTGGATTTTCTGTTTATTAGAGGATACTAGCAGCAGGGCTGGTAGCGAGTCACTTTTTAGTGACTTGGTCACTTTTTTCAAGTCAGTCACTAAAAAGTCTCTTTTTTAAGGCCAAGTCACTAAAGTTACTTTTTCTTTTTTTTTTTTTTATAATGCGTTTATTTTTCCAGGCTCATTTTCCGTAGCTTTGCGGAGCCGATATTCATCGTTTGGGTACAAAATTACTTAAAACTAACGTTAGTAAAGCGGGGGCCGATTACTCGCGGCTTTCTCGAGGTTAGGGGTAACAAATTGTAACAAACGGGTGGCAGGGTAGGGATTGAGAACACAAGGTTTTTTAGAGCAATGTGCTCTTGATCTAGAACTAAGCGACATACTGGAGAAAAAGACAAACATGGGGGTACACCGATGGAGACCTAGCAACTTGAGAGAACACAAGATGACACTAACTACTAAATCCTCAGATCGATCCGTTTTAAAAACACATAAATTAAATTAAAATAATCGAGATCTCGGCTCGCCAAGATGTCTCTAACGGGCCGCATAGGTTGTTTTCCTCGGGCCCTGAGGGATGCGGATAACTCGGATCTAGCAACACAATGTAGGGTGCATGACCAAAGCACGTGGTCGATATCGTGATAGCCACTACCACAAGCGCACAAATTGCTGCCTGCGAGCCCGATTCGGAAGAAATGCGAGTCTAACGAGTAGTGATTGGACATGAGCCTTGATATGACACGTATAAAGTCACGGCTCATGTCCAATCCTTTGAACCATGGCTTGTTCGATACCTGTGGGAGAATAGAATGTAACCATCTTCCCAGATCACTCTCATTCCATTTTTGTTGCCAGTTGGTGAGGACGTGCTGACGGGTAATTGAGAAAAATTCCGCAAAGGCGATTTGTCGATCAAAAATATCGCCTTCCATAGCGCCCACCTTAGCTAGCGAGTCCGCTTTCTCATTGCCCGGAATTGAGCAATGAGATGGGACCCAAACTAAGGTGATAGTATAGGAGCAGTTAGATAAAGTACTCAATTTAGCTCGGATTTCGGTCAGGAAATACGAGGAGTGCTTCATCGGCCTCATTGATCGAATAGCCTCCAACGAGCTAAGGCTATCAGTAAAAATAAAATAGTGATCAGATGGTAGTGAGGCAATTTGCTCTACTGCGTAAAATATGGCTGCTAGTTCCGCAACGTATACGGAACAGGGTTTTTGCAGTTGATATGAGGCGCTATGAAATTCGTTGAATACTCCAAATCCAGTGGAAGCGTTTATAGTTGACCCATCTGTGAAAAAACTCTTATTGTTACTAACATGGTGGTACTTGTTTGCAAAAATTAAGGGAACAACCATCGACCGATGGTGATCTGGTATTCCACGGATTTCTTGCAACATGGTCAGATCAAAATTTACAGAGGAACTATAAAAGTCTTGGAGGCAAACACGAGAGGAATTGAATGAAGAAGGGCCAATCTCCAGCGTCATGTAATCGTAATAGAGACTCATGAATCTTGTTTGAGGATTTCTGTCGAGCAGCTTCTCAAAGTTTTCTATTACCAATGGGTTCATTACTTCACAACGGATAAGAAACCGAAAGGACAGCTCCGCGAAACGATCTGTCAGTGGAAGAACACCCGCGAGTACTTCGAGGCTCATCGTATGCGTCGAGTGCATACAGCCAAGCGCGATTCGGAGGCAACGGTATTGAACTCGTTGCAGCTTCAAGATATGTGTTTTCGCCGCGGATTGAAAGCAGAAGCTACCGTACTCTAGAACCGACAAGATGGTTGTTCGATACAACCTGATCAGATCTTCCGGGTGTGCTCCCCACCAAGTTCCGGTAATTGTACGAAGAAAATTGATTCTTTGTTGGCATTTTTGTTTCACATACGCAATATGTTTTCCCCACGTGCTTTTGGAATCGAACCAGACACCTAAATACTTGAAAGATATACTTTGAGTGATTGTTCTACCCTTTAGTTGAAGCTGTAACTGTGCAGGATGATGCTTCCTAGAAAAAACAACCAACTCAGTTTTCTCCGGAGAGAATTCGATACCCAGCTTCATAGCCCAAGTAGACAAATTGTCTAAGGTATCTTGCAATGGTCCTTGCAGGTCCGGTGCACTTGGCCCTATAACGGACACAACGCCGTCATCTGCAAGCTGCCTTAGCGAGCAATTTTCATCAAGACAACCATCAATGTCTTTTACGTAAAAATTATAAAGAAGGGGGCTTAAACATGAGCCCTGGGGGAGACCCATATAACTAATTCGTGAAGTTGTCGAGTTTCCATGAGAAAAGCTCATATATTTCTCAGACAACAAGTTGCTCAAATAGTTGTTCATAATTGGTGAAAGCCCACTATCGTGGAGTTTATCCGAAAGGACATCGATACAAACAGAATCAAAAGCCCCCTTAATGTCCAAGAAAACTGAACCCATTTGCTGTTTTTGCGCATAGGCCAGTTGAATTTCAGTTGAAAGCAACGCAAGACAGTCGCTCGTTCCTTTGCCTCTCCGAAATCCAAATTGCGTATCTGAAAGTAAACCATTCGACTCGACCCATTTGTCTAGACGAAAAAGAATCATTTTCTCCAACAATTTCCGTATACAGGACAGCATCGCGATGGGACGGTACGAGTTATAATCCGACGCGGGTTTACCGGGTTTTCGAATGGCGATAACTCTTACTTGCCTCCAATCATCCGGAACAATGTTGTGCTCCAGAAATTGATTGAATAAGTTCAACAAGCGTCTCTTCGTGACGTCTGGGAGATTTTTGAGCAAGTTGAACTTGATTCTATCCATTCCTGGAGCTGAGTTGTTACATGAAAGGAGAGCAAGTGAGAATTCCACCATCGAAAACGGGGAATCTATTTCGTTATTACCCGACGGACGATCACGAACGTTGGTTTGAACCGGTACCGAATCCGGGCAAACTTTCCGCGCGAAGCTGAAAATCCATCTGTCCGAGTACTCCTTGTCTTCATTAATCGGTGATGACGCGTTTCGCATTCTCCTGCCGACATTCCAGAGTGTTCTCATGGAAGTCTCTCGCGACAAACCATCGACGAACCGACGCCAGTATCCGCGTTTTTTTGCTTTAATTAAGTCTTTAAAGGTTTTCTCGAGGTCGGTGTACCGCTTGAAATCCCCGACCTTACCGTGTTTGCGGAAGCGTTTAAACGCGGCGGACTTCTCGCTGTTCGCGTCGGTGCAATCCTTATCCCACCACGGGGTGGGAGGTCGCTTGCGGACGGAAACACCCGGAACACGTTTTGTCTGTGCTCGCAGCGCAGAATCGATGATGACACGCGCGAGAAAGGAGTACTCGTCCAGCGGAGGAAGTACGTCAACCGATTGACTGGCATCAAGAACCGCGGACGCGAATTTTCGCCAGTCAATGTTTTTCGTAAGATCGTACGCGATGTCGACCGAGCGAGTAGAAGATGAACCATTGGTAATAGAAATTTTGATTGGCAAATGGTCACTACCGTAGGGATCTTGAATTACTTTCCACGAGCAATCCAACGATAGTGAACTCGAACAAAGTGAGAGGTCTAATCTGCTTATTTTTGCTGGAGGTTTGGCTACTCGTGTTGCTTCCCCGGTGTTCAGAATTGTCATTTTGAAGAAGTCGCACATGTCGTATATCAAGGTTGAGCGGTTGTCGTCGTACAGTTCCCCCCAGCCTGTACCGTGAGAGTTAAAATCTCCCAAGATCAACCGTGGCTCCGGCATAGCCGTGCAGATATCCGCGAAACTTTGACGAGAGATCGCGGTTTTCGGTGGAAGATATACTGAGGCAATACTGAGGCATTTACCTCGAATATTAACCTGACATGCAACTACTTCAATGCCTGTCACTGAAGGCAGATCGATTCTATAGAAGGAATGGAGCTTGTTGATCCCCAGAAGCACCCCTCCATACGAATCTGCGCGGTCAAGGCGTATAATGTTGAAATCGTGGAAAGCAAGATCGTTGTCTGAAGAGAGCCATGTTTCACAAAGGGCAAATGCATCAGAAAGTGAGTTGTTAACTAAAAATTTAAATGTGTCAAGTTTTGGCATAAGACTTCTACAGTTCCACTGAAGAACAGAGATCATATCCCCGACCTCATTCGGAGAATTATCCATCAAAGGATATGATCGATGCAAGGAAGGACCACCTAGAAGCTAGTTGCTTCAAAAGAGTTTCCACCATTGGCAGCACTAAATTAATAATGCTCCTCGTTGAGTCAGAGACATTGAATATACTGAAGAAACTATCCACAATACCAGAAAACGTGAACATGGGAGCATGTTCTTGCTGATTATTCAGCTGATTTTCTGGCCGAAAAACTGGAACATCTGGGGTTTTAGATGATCCTGGAAGTGACGGAAAGTTCTTGTCATAATTACAAGGTTTATAACCCGGTGGAATGGGTTTCGGTGAATTTCCGTTACTTCTTGATTTTTCCAAGGTGGAAGGGTGGTCCGTACGAGTG